TAGCCCCACTTTACACCTGAGATCTAGAGGCCAGCTACTCATGTCAGGAAGTGGCCAGGCCAGATCTAAAACCCAGCTCTCAGCATCCTCCGGTCCATGCTGTACCTACACATCACGGCACTTCTGAAAGCTTCATGGTTGTACAAACAGGGGAGGTACTGCTCTCTGTGAAAAAGTAATTCACAACACGGATGTCAAAGAGCAATATTTTCGTTTGGATTTTGATTTTCTGAGGTAGAGTCTCACTATGTAGTGCAGCCTGACCCTGAAGTCACTACGTAGTCCAGGCCAGCCTCAAACTCACTGCAATCCTCCTGCCTCAGCCTCCCGAGCGCTAGGATTACAGATGTGCACCACCATGCCTGGCTCTAAGAGCAAACTTAAAAGATGCAAAATTCCCTGCCAAATCATATAAGACATTCGAATCTGCCTGAGCTGAGAGCATGAATTTTCAACAAACAGGAACAAGGGCCACAATACATGAACACCATTGTCTCTGGGCATCAGGGTATGAGAAAATCAAGCAAAGGATGAAGACAAAGAGATCTGGGTAGGAACAGGATGTAACAAATGTTTCAGCCACACCCGGCTGAGTTTTCTCAGTTTCTTAAGAGAGTACACTCAAAATCAATCTTCCTTTGTAGTGTCTACTGTTTCATATAATTTACACATAAAACCTGTCACATCCAAAAAGCCTATTTCTAGGAAATTATCCTAAAAAAAAAAATCACATAACTGGAAAAAGATGTATGTACAAGGATACTTATCACAGCTTTGTTTGTAATAGGGATACATGAGAAACAACTTGAAATGTGCTACAGTAGGCAATTATGTAAATTATGGTCCAACCCATTCATTTTAATGCACATTATTATGAAATATTTTGGACACTAAATAATGCTTTCTATTAGTATTGAAATGAAAAACTATCCATGTCAGTCCCTGTCAAAAGCCAGAATTAAATTCTTCTATATACTGATAAAGGGAGAGAGAGAGAGAGAGAGAGAGAGGTTAGTGTCCAGAACAGGTCACAGCAGAGAAGCACAGGGCTTCCCAAAACATTACCTCTGCCCAGCCTCCTTCAGCCCAAGGAGCTGCCCACGACATTACCATCTAGAAAGGACCAGTGAGGAGGCTCCTACTGAAGACGAAACTGACTCACCAACTTCCCACCGCCAGGCCTTCCACATAAGTGATTACATTCGAAGCTAATGAGGGCCCTAATGAACGATGGATCACCAGTTTAAAGACCCAAAGGAAGGTGTGTGGACTTCACACATCAGTGAGCACATGCACAGCACAGAGATGAGGGTGAAAGGACTGCTGCCAGAATGCCTGGGTTCAGAACCTGAATCAGACCCCACCCCTCGGGGCTCCGAGGCCCCATGTGTCGAATGAGCAGAAAGCACGTCCGCGCTGCAGCTCCTCCAGTGTGAGGCCCGGCCCGCCTCCATACATCTCTTGACTGCAGCCCCTTGGCTCCCACCTTCCTCCCTCTGGCCCACCCCACTGCAGCAGCTTCTGCTTCATCACCTTGCCACCAGGCTTACTCCCTCCAAACTCTTCCTCACAGTTGCCAGCCTGGGTAATCTCTGAAAGCACAGTTCTGGTCATTTCCCTCCCCATGTTAACACCCATCACTGCTTCGTTTCATCTTTAGGATAAAACTAAAAGCGAGCACTGTAACCCTGAGGAACGTGCAAGATCTGGCCACTGCCTGCTTTGGTGGGCTCATTTCCCTCACAGAGCCTCAATCCAACCAAAGGGAACTTACAATTCCCTGAGCTCATCTGGCTCTGCTGTGCTCACTCAGTCCTGTATGAGTGCTTATACCTGCGACGCTCTCCCAGGCCTCTCCGTCTGCCCAATCCCTACTTGTCCCTAGTGCCCTGACTCAGGCAGCGGCTAACCCAGAGGCTTCCCTGACCTCCCTGTCTTTCAGAGGCCAGCCTCCGTGGCCCCACAGCACCTGGTTCTTACCTCACTGTATCACTGTGTTATGTTCCTCTCCATCATCCCAATTGGACCCTGAGCCTCTTATCAGGGAAACTACCTGCTTTTAATCCACCACACATTTCCAAGCCCCTGGCGGTCAGACTGGCGTAGGTCATATATGTGAAACTGCTTATTGAACGGATGAGCTGGAGCAAAACTACAAGTGGGCCTTTGGCTTATTAGACCCTCACTAAATGCAACTACTTTTTTTCTTAGTACACATTTGCAGTACATAATGTTTACATTTATCATGGGGAGCTGGAACATTTACATAACACATCTTAATTCCTTCTTTGTCCTCTACTCCATCTATGCCTCCCTGCTCCTTCCAATTCTTGGTCCCCTTCCCATTTATAAAAGCTCTATTTCCATTTTTTTTCTTCAATTTTTTCCCATCCCCTGTCCCTTCCCTCCCTTCCCCCCCTCCCCCATACCTTGTCCCCCTTTCCATTTGAAAAAGATCTCCCTACTTCCTATTATCTATCTTTGATTTTGCTCTTTCTTTATATTTTGATTTTCTCATATAAGAGGAAACCATGCCATATTTAAGCTTGTGTCTGATTTACTTCACTTAACATTATGGTCTCAGGGTACATCCATTTACCCACAAATGCCTTAAGTTGGCCCTTATTTGTGGCATAGTAGTACTCCACTGTGTATAAATACCATACTTTCTTTATCTATTTATCTGTTGATGGGCATATAGGCCATTTCCACGATTTAGCTATTATAAACTGTGCTAATATAAATATGAATGTGTATGTATCACTATAATATGATGACTTTAACTCTTTAGGGACTAAATACAACTGCTGATGTTCAGACATCAGTCAGCTAAGATTAGAATAGAGGTATCACAAGTTTCCCCTTTAAATCAAAGGTATTCTAGCCCCCTTTAATATGCATGCTGACTGGAAATTACTTTTAGATGCCAAATGCACTTCCTATAAGCATCTCACAGAAAGTTCAGTCTACCGCCACACAAAGATCTATAACCTCAGCTACTACGTGAAGCTGAGGCCAAATGAAAAATTTCAGTGACTTATAAAAGACCTGAAGGGAGACATTGAAAACAGTGTGGTCATTTCAATTTCAGCGGCAGAATTTGCTCTTGAAAATGCTACAGTAAAAAATATCAATGCCATAAAAACCTAACAGCAGCCAAAGGACCACAGTCATAAAGAAGAAACATAAATCCTAAAACACATTGGCATAGACAGCTCTCCCTCACCTTCAAGTAAAACAGAACTTAGGCCACCAAGAACAGTCTTGGCAAGAGACACTTGAATCACATGGCAGAGTAGGGAAAAATGACAATAACAGTAAGAAGGAGAAACAGCTAGCACATGGAATGTACTCTATGCTAGAAATACATGCTTTACTCGTCAATCTTCCCAAGAGCTCCGTGAAGTCGGCACCTTCACTACACCCATGTCAAAGGTGAGGCAAGTACAGAGTGGCCCAAGGTCACCAAGCAGCAGTGGACACACAGGCAGTCTGGCTCTAGAAGCTGTGAGCCTCGCAGCACAGGCTGTCTCTGAGAATGGCTCTGCCACTTCACGTCCCTGGGCCTCAGTTTCTCCTATATAGAACAAAGAGGGATGGGATTCAGGATCCCTTCCAGTTCAAAAGGCAGATAACAAAATGTGAAACCCAAATTTTACAATGCTGTTAAATCTTCCCATCTAGAAATAAAATTTAAAACTGTGCCCTTCAAAAATAAGCAATAGCTCTCTATCTTAGAAAGCTGCTTTAATATTAAAGGAATGTATATAGAGAACACAAAGTGCCCAACTCAGGGCAAGAACTCAATAAACAGTAGCTATTATTACTCTTATGATAAAACAGGAACAACCACTTAACAGCAGACCGTATTTTAATTATACACGATGTGGAATAATCAAATCTCATTCATTTGAGGCCCCAGACCCCACAGCATAGATCGCATTGTACTGCTGAAATTATAACAACCCAAAGCTCAAAAATTACTTGTTTCCATTAGAGATCTGACAAGTCATTTCTTCAATTGGTCACTGGTGGTTTGCAGATAACTATTAGCAGTAATGAGTATTCTAAATTAAATCCAGAGACAGCACCACTCTGTTCTGTAACGACAACTGGGGAAGAGAAACATAATTGTGGAGCGCCCTTCTCTCTGTGTCCTCTGTCTTCTCTCTGATAAATATCTCCTGTGTCTTGCATAGTATGGATTTCATTTGGTTACAAATGAAGAAGGGTCTAATTCTTCCCAAGATAAATGAGAGCGTTGAGCAGGTAACTTGTTAAAGAGAATTGGAATTGGGAAAATAACCTTATTTTCCTGTTACTTGACAATGAAACCTCCTCCATTAACAAATGAATGACACAAAGCTGGAAGACATTAAGCATTGAAACCAAATCTATTACCAAGTAATCCATTCGCAGACAATTGCCACACAGTACTGTGTGCAGGCTACTCATATTCCATTCAACAGCAACAAAGTCTACAAAATGAATGGGGAGCCACAAAGCAGTACAAACAACAATGGCTTTAGAATCATTAAAAACCTAGATCCAAATCCCAGCTCCGCCCTTTACATAGTACATGCCCATAAATGAGTCTCTCCTCATCTGAAGATCCCTTATCTCTAAAATAGGGATATACGAAATACCCCAAGAGTTGTAGCAAAGACCAAGCAGGGGCCGTAAAGAAGGTGCCTTACATTATCGTGAGGCCCTTGATGTTAGCTCCCCTCAACTGTGCAATATGGAACATCCTCATCTTCAGAACACCAGAAATATACCAAGTACCCAAAGCTGGAATTTGCTTTAACCTTGTCAGAACCAGTAAAGGCTGACTGTGTATGGACAGAACAATCTACGGAAAATGCCCAGGCCCTGGCATTCCTCCCACCTCTAGCATTATTCAGCTTAGTTCTTATAAAACACAACTTCCTCCTGGGTTTGGCTGGACAGCAGCAGGAGACATGATTTGTTAGAAACAATAATTTCATATCTCCACTTACATTTTCAAAGTCCTTCATGTTCCGTGCTCTGGTGGGAGAAACCTTTTCTTCTGACGCAGCAGGGAGCACTATAAAAAGGCAAAACAGACAAAGGAAAACGTCATGGCATGCAAACTGCCCAGCATTCCTACTAGGGACTACCCCTGAGAAGAGAAAACATACGGAGCTTCCACAGAGTACCCTGTTGACATTTTCAGCCTGTTGTGATTTACTGATTTGAGACCAGAGAAAGCTCTAAGCCATTTTATTTCAAATGCTGACGAATTACTTAAACTAGCCCCAGTGTAAATGTGTGTGTCAGAGGATGAACCCAGAAAATGCTTTGGGCATGTGGCAAAACAGGTACTTCCTCATCTTCACATGTCAGTAATTGAAACAAAGCATGTCTAACTGACTTGATGCAAGAGTTGGCAAACTACTTGAAACACCAGACAATGTGTATTTCAGGCTTTACAGGCCACACACAAAGCCTAAAACCTGTCACCAGCTACTCAGCTCCTCTGCTGCAGCTCAAAAACAGCCATAGCCAACTCAAACAAAGTGGCCATGTTCCAACAAAACTTTACTCCCAAAAGCAGGCAGTGGGTGGGAAACTGATCCCCGTTTTGAGTAAAAACTGCCAGTACCAATCTCTCCACAGCTTCCTTAATTCAATAAACATTTATTAGACACCTGCTCTGCATCAAGCACCATCCTGAGTGCTGGGGAAACAATGGTGAAGGAGACACTGATCCTTCCCATTCAAGTGGGCAAGACAGAGAGGAAAACAAACTGTTATCACACCAACCAGAGTACCTGGTGCCTTGTAGATGTTAAGTAAATACGTGTGGAGTGAATGAATGAACTCATTCCCCCAACAAAGCTGCACTGAGAGCCTACTTTCTGCCAGGCAGCTTTCTGGATGTGGCTGGATCAGGAAACAAATGGAGCTTCTATCCTAGAGGGAGGAGATAGACAATAAGCAAAATAATGGGGCAACTACATAATTCGTTCAAAGATAAAAATGCTATGGAGAAAAATAAAGTGGATACAGATGGGAAACCCAGGGTTGGGGAGGGGACTGCAATTTTAAATAAGGTCATCAAGGACAACGGTCTCACTGAGAAGGCCACTCTGCAGGGTTGAAGGGAAGCAGCCAGTTACTTGGGGAAGAACACTCCAGGTGCAGGGAGAATCCTGGGAGGGAGCATGCCAAGTGGGTCCGAGGAGCAGCCAAGAAGCAATGGCTAGAGATCAACAAAGGGCACAGCGGAAGAGGAACTCCAAGAGGTTTTGGAAGAAGGACTGCATCTGGCCTTGCAGGCTCTCTTATGGACTGAGTAGCCCCTGGAGGATTCTGAGCTAGGGAGTAAAAGGAGCAGACTCATTGCTCCAGGCTCCCTCTGGCTGCCTTGCTGAAAACAGACTATAAGGAACTTAGGAGAAAAACAAAAGGACCAGTCGGATAATAATGAGATAATCCAGGCTAGAGATCCTGGTGGTTTGGAGCTGGATGTAAGATTGTAAATGGATGAGAACTGGTTTGATTCTGGATATTTTTAAAGTAACCAACAGGAATAAATAAAAGGAAGTGAAATACATAATGTTCAGAGAGGAAAAAAACAAAGCTAAGTAAGCCAGAGAAGATGCTCTGAGCTAAATCCTAAAGAGGCAGAAGGAGGCACCAGGCTGATGAGGAATAAACAGCCCAGACAAAGGCACAAGGTGGGAGTGGCCATGGGGAAAGAGGCTAAAGAGTGGGCTGGGCAGACTGTGCAGAGCCCTGTGCACCAGGCTGAGGGTGCAGAGGTTTTCTTGTTCCTCGACTGGGCTCTTCTGTCACCTGTCTGTCATCTGAGATACTTGCCCTCTCCTTTTTCCCTACCTAGGTCTTACTGCAAGTCTCAGCTCCAACAGCAGTTTCTCAGGAAACTCTCGCCTGACTCTTACCAGGTAAACTGCTCACAGCACCTAACACTTCTTCACTCCTCACACTGACCATATGTTTTCTCATAACCTTTTGTCTGTGTTCTTAGCTCGAAGGTAATGATGCTCAAAGGTGAATCCTAGTGCTCAGCTGAGTCTGGCATGAAGGAGATACACAAAAACTTCATTTGGAAAATACCACTTTGGAGATGAGAAAAAAAACACAAGTCAAAATATCTCTAAGATATTTCAACAAGGCTAATTATTAGCACCACCCACACACGCACTTAGGATAGCATTTGCTTGTTCTCACAATGAAAATTATGAGGCATGCTTAGCCAGACCCAAACTGCAAAGTCTCCTCATAATCCAGCTTAAATACAATACACTGCTTATTTACTCAGTGACATCTCCTGTGGTCTCAGCAGCTACTCGTACAAAGGGCAAGCCCATGTAGGAATGCTGGACTTCAGCCGGCAAATGGAATCCAGCAGCCTGCCAGGGAGGCTTTGGCACACAGAAGTCCAAACGGCAGCACTCCTAGGCCTCTGGCACTCAGCAGTGGAGACCAACAGAAGCCCCAAGCTGGGTCTACTCACCAATTCAATCTCAGCCTCCCCGAAGTCATTCAGTTCAGCAAACACTGGCTGAACCCTATAGTTGGCAGCAGGAAAAAACAGCCATGAAGGACAGTCTGTTAACTGCTCTAGTCCAGTGTTTGTGAAATAAGGTGGAGAGCAAATCAGTACTACATGGAACGTAAAATGCTGAGCACCCACTGTGTGCTGGGACAGGGAAGCTGCAGGCCCCCAGTCTGGAAGCCCAGTATCAGACCTCAAGGTGCTCACAACCTAATGTCTACAACCCTTGTTCTTCCTCAGGAGAATGCCCAGCTCTTTGTACTTACCTCCATTTCCCAAGCCGGCACTGGTGCTGTTATTCTGGTCATCTGGTAAAGGAGGAACAAGGCCACTAGGAGAGAACACACAGGATAAGAGATGAGGTTGTCTTTGAACAACAGAGACAGCTAAGAATGCCCGGACTGCAGGTGACAACCAGCAGGCCATGGCCACATGAGCCACACAGCCGAGCTACCTGGGAGGCATGAAGTACAGAGCTCAAGAACTCAGGCTTTGGGGCTGAGTCTGGCTTTAGGACTGAGTCACAGCTCCAACACTCCGTAGCTGGTGACCTGCAGCACACCCATTCACTCACTCACTCATTCACACAGCAAATGTCCTATGTGCCAAATACGTGCTAGGTGCAGAGGCGTGGTGCCAAGTACAAGCTACTGAGGTTTCTGAGTCTCCTATCATTCTCCGTCAGATGAGGATATCACACTAATGTATATAAATGACTTAATGTATATAAACACCTAGCACATAGAGCTAAATAAGTGACACTTGTTACTACTGTCATCATTATTGTTATCATTAATATATCAACACAATCAAAAGTTTTATGAATATCAAACAAAAACACAGAATTCTCTGATCCAAGAAGTTGTACTGGTTGAATTATATAAATAGGTACAGTGTAGATTTGGAGACACTAACAGAAAAGTAAACCCTAACTGGTGATATGATTTAACACAACAGACACTACCCTAGATTCTATTCTAAGCTCTGTATGTTCATCTCCAAGCCTCACTTCTTCAGCTGAAAAGGGAGAACAGCAGCTATTTCATAGAGTAACTGACAACCAAACAAGAAGTGCTCAGCACACCTCCCATATTATGGGCACTACATAAATGGGAGCAAAATATCGTTGTCATTCTGAAACATACTGTGCTTTATAATTTATAAAATACCTACCACCATTAGAACTGCCCAAGTCCCTGAGGGTCCATGTATTTTTCAAAAGAAGGCTCTGAAGCTCAGACAACTTCAGTGTCCTAGCCAGAGTCACATGGCAGAGAAAACCCAAGTCCAGAACCTAACCCCAGGAATAGCTCTCTGTTCCAACCTGTAAACCAGGAGTGGATGAATGCTCAGAATCACTTCTTGGCAGTTTGCTCCTTCCTGCTTCTAAATCCAAAAGCATTGCGCTCCCTGGACAATTTTTCCTAATGACCAAACTCCAGAGGTAGAATGTGACCTTCAGGTTCCAAATCAAGCAAAAAGCTGGAAAACTCCTAAAAGTTCAACATCAGTAAAATGACTACATAGAATGTGTGTGCTATAACGATAACTGGAGGCCGGGAATGTAGCTCAGAGTAGAGTGCTTACCTAGCATATGTGAGGGCCTGAGCCCTAGTACCATAGGCAAAAAAAAAGATAACTGGGAAATTTAAATAGAATATGTCCTCAAACATAAAAAATATATATATACATGTACACTAAAATCACCCTAAATCCTTTTTTGGAACTAGGTGGGCCATAAATACATAATAAGACAAAGAAGATATACTATTTACAATCATGTATAGGGAAATGAGAGATGTTTTCCTCCATCTCATTTTCTATAATTTTCAATTTCTTCCCATAAGCATCACTCCAAAAATAACATCCAGTCTTTAAACTGAATTTTAAAAATTAAAAGTCAACTTCATGATGGCTCACAGACCCAAGATCACACACTGGACCTAGAGTCCAGTCTTACATTCTTACTTTGGGGTTTTCTCCACTACAGCCATTACATGAACTTCCACAGGCTGAAATGGCCCGTCCATAACACAAGCCAAGGTCAATCACACCTGAAAAGTACCTGGCAGACAAAGCCAAAGATTTCGATCTTAGCCTCAAACAGGCAATAAGTGAAGTTGCCAAATTTCCACTTAGGCTTTACCTGCCCACTTTTAAATGCTCTGTATCTCTGTCATCTGCATAGCTCAGTCAGTTCTGCCCACACCTCTAGCCCAAACAGCTCTCTTCCCATTCTGATTTCACTCAGCCTCAGAAGGAAGATGGGGTCCCCTAACCCTTTACTCCAAGGGATGGGAGTGGCAGTGAGGACTAAACAGACACAGGCAGAGCACTTCCATGGCTACTGCTGTGTGTCAACTGTTTGCTGAGTGAATGAAAGGTCTCACCCGAGCTTTACTACCATGACCTCCTATCTGGCACTACTGCTGCCCTAAAGAAGCAATTTCTTTCCATGCTTATATCTGCCAGTTACAGCTGTCCTTCCACACCACAAATCCAACAAGAGCCACATGTTTCACTGAGAGTGTTACAAAAGCCGTGGATGGAGCTGGACCTCACATACAATAAACTACATCAACAAATGCACTTTTGTTTGTCTTTTAACAATTCCTCTTTCATTCTACTCTTAATTCATTTCATTATTCTTAATTCATCACTTCAATATTCATTTTTAATTAGAAAAAATATACACACAAAAATTACAGATGAATCTAAAGCTCTCCTAGATGACTCCTCAGTCCCCTCCTAAGAGGTAACCACTGATGTAAGATGTCTCCTTTCAGATGTTGTAGTCTCAGTCTATTCACAGACATAAAGACATCATTTTTTTACTTAAAAGGAAAGCAAGTGCAATCAAAGCACATATATTATTCTGCAACACATTTCCTCTAAAACAATGTGTTCTACAGTTGTCCTGATGACAATACAAATGGTTCGGCTTCAATTTTTAACTCCTACAAAGCATTCCATAGCAGTGGGTTTTTTCAAATTTTATTGACCATGATTTATAAAAGAATTCCTTAATTCTTGAAATATTTTATATTCTATTCTACTTTTTTAAAAATCAGTTGCAACCTATTAAGTTGAATTTCACGAGCTACCAGTGGGACACAGTCTGAAAGACATTTGAAAGGACGTGTATTTATCGAATCCTGTATTGATGACATTCAGTTTGTCTCCAAGTTTTTCTTTTACAAACAATGCTGTATGAATATCTTTTGATAGGCCCCACTGTGCACAAGTATAAGGGTTTTCTAGGATAGATAACAAGAAGTGGAATTGCTGAGTCAAAACATACATTTTTTAAAGCAAGCAAAGGGTCTGAATGAACAGTTCACCAAAGAAAACATATAGATGGCTAATAAGCACATGAAATGATATTTAATATGATTAGTCGTTACAGAAATGTAAATCAATTTCACAGTGAGATACTATGTCACACCTCCAAAGACAGCTATAGTCAAAAAGACACCCAAACTATTGTAAGTGTTGGTATGGATGTGAAGAAAACTAAAACCTTCGAACACTGCTGGTGGGAGAGACAAACAGTACAGCCACTTTGGAATAGACTCTGGGAGTTCCTCAAAATGTTAGATTTAACCAAATGACCCAACAATTCCACTCCTAGTTATATGCCCAAGACAAGTGAAAACACATATTTACGTGAAAATTTGTACAGAAGCAAATGTTCACAGCAACATTATTCATAATAGACAAAAAGTAAAAGCAACTCAAATTCCCATCAATATGAATGAATAAACAAAATTTGGTAGATGGGTGTTATGGCTTGTATCTAGATGTCCCCCTGAAGCCTGTTGCAGTCATAGGTAGGGCTTCTGGGAGGTGGCTGGATCCAGGGTGTGTAATTCTGGGACCAAGGGTGTGATGCTGAGATTGATTCATGGAGCAATGCTAGGATGAAGGCTGCCCCACACTGGGTGTGAGTCCTACTCACCGTAATGGTAGATAGCCTGAAAGGATACAAGGGACAGAAAGAGGGTCACTGCTTGTAGCTTGTCACTTCCTGCATCTTTGCTACTTCAATGCTCTACTGCCCTCTGCCATCCCACCCTGCCTTGGAGCCAGCCAGCTATGGACTGAAACCTCTACAAACTGTGAGCTAAATAAACCTTCCCGTTTAACTTTGGGTGTTGCGCATTTTGTCTCAGCAAGAGAGAAAAGTAACTAAGACAATGGGTACAAAGAATATTACTTAGCCATTAAAAGTACAGATACATCTGTTGCCTGCCTCGCAAGCACAAGGTCCCAAGTTCAATCTCCGGTACCAAAAGAAACAAAAAACAAACAAACCAACAAACTAAAAAGTACAGCTACATTCTACCACATGGATGAACCTCATAAAAGCTCACATGTTGTAAGACACCATTTCTAGGCTTTGTAGGGGAGAGAAGGGGAGCACGGGGAGTGCAAGAATGGGGAGCATGGCTGATGACAAGATTTCTTTTTGAATGATGAAAATGTTCCAAAAGCTACTTGGGTGGCTACTGCAGGAGGATCACAAGTGTGAGGCCAGCGTGGGCAACTAGAAAGACTGTCTTAAAACAAAAAATAAGCAGCGTTGGGGTACAGCTTAGTGTGAAGACTCTGGGCTCACGGCCCAGTACTGCTTAATTAATTAATAGATTAAAAATAAAATACAAAGGACTGGGATGTAGTTCTGTGGTAGGGCACTAGTCTACTATGTATGAGACCCTGGGTTCAATCTGCAGTTACAAAAAGAAAAAATATTCTTAATAAATTTTTTTTAAAAACACTAAATGGTATACTTTAAATGGGTGAACTTTATAGCCTATAAATTATATCTTCTTTCTTTTCAATTACTGGAGATTGAACCCCGGGCCTTCACACTGAGTTACATTCATAGCCCTATTTTTATTTTTTTGGTCAGGATCTTGCTAAATTGCCCAGGCTGGCCTTGAATTTGTGAACCTCCTCCTCAGCCTCCAAGAGTACTAGGATTACACGTATGCACCACCACTACTGGCTATAAATTATATCTTAATAAAACTTTTTTAAAACACACACAGGCATAATTTTTAATGTTAACAGATAATGCCAAATTGAGTTCCAGAAAGGCTATGCCAGTGGATGGTCTGCATGCACTACTTTTCACAGTGATCACAAAGCAGTATTTCACTACTAAATATGGGGCCTATATCACATGGTCTCCATTTTTTTCAAAAAGATAGTGAACAAAATCAATTCATTCAACAAATATGTGTTGAGCCTCTCCTATGTGCTAGACACAATTCTAGGTGCTAAGACATAGTGGAGAACAAACCAATGCTCTCCTCATGTGTCACATCTCAGGAGGACCCTCAATGCAAGGCAGCAGTCCTACTACCATCAAGCCTTCCCGGGAAATTGCAGTCCTATTTTCCTGACCTTCTACTTCTGTTATAGCAGAAAACACTTAACGGCCATGTGCTGAACTGCTCATAGGTAAATAAGCCTGGGCTTGGATCTTAGGAAGCTCACAGTGGGCAAAGGCAGGCTCCTGGGCACACACAGGGGGAAGTGCACAATGCTGTGACACAGAGGATCCTGTCCGGGAAACAGTGCATCAGGCATCGGTATAATAAAACTAACATTTCACACTCTCCAGTGGTGCCAGGCACTTAATTTATATGCTCTCACTTCATCTGCATATCCTTCAATAAAACAGGGATTATCATTAAAAAGAAACTCAGAGGGCCGGGGATTTAGCTTAGCGGTGCTGCTGCCTGCCCCGAAAGCGCAAGGACCCGAGTTCGAGCCCCAGTACCAAAAAAAAAGAAGCTCAGAAAGGTTAAGTGATTTACTCAAAGCAATAAACCTACGAACTGGCTGTTCCAGGATTTATACCTAGTCATCTCAACCTAGCCATCTCGACCAGGTTCTTTCCACACCACCAGGTGGAACTTAATGAAAGGTCTTTGCTTCGGCAAGGTCCCTGGGGCCAGAATTTGGGTGTATATTTTCCCAGAGCCAAAGCTGTCCTAGGCACTCCTAGGTGACAAAGTTTGGAGGGATTGACACACACTATCCTATTTCAACAAAAGTTTAAGAACAGACTGAACGACAGGTTTTAGTCTTTAAAACTAGGGCTTGGAAATTACCAAACAGAAGAGTACTCAGAAAGTAGCACACTATAATAAAAAGGTGAGATTTTATCTGAGGGATTACTCTCTTTCATTGTTAGCACGTGATGGAGACCTTGTGTCTCAGGATATTTTGGACACTCTTTTAAGAACCTCTTCAGTCCAGGAGCTCTACAAGATCTTCCCCTGAAACCCCTCAGTCCAAATTGGTTGAGAGAACTAGCTGGAAGGCAGAACAGGCTCTGAAGTCAGTAAGCATGAATTTTAAATCCTGACTCCATGTACTTTTCAGGTGATCCAAGACCATGCATTTCAGCTCTCTGAGCCTCGTGGTCCCACTTAACAAAGGGATAAAACTATCACCTCAAAGGATGGTTGATTATTCAGTGATTAGCAGTCACTGAGACCCTGAGGCCAGGTTAGGAACTATATTTACAAAGACAAAAGAAATGCAGTCCCTGCTCTCAAATCTGGGCAACAGGTTAGTTAACAACCAATACCGCCAGCGTCCAATACAGACGCCACTAGCCACAGGAATCCATTAAGCACTTAAAATGTGGTTTGTCCAAGTTGAAAGTGCTATAAGTGTAAAATTCTTGCTAAATTTCAAAGATTTAGTAAGATTAAAAAGGAAGCGAAATATCTCACCAATGATTTTTCTATTAGTTACAAATTAGAATAATATATGGAAATATAAGATTTAGTAAGATTAAAAAGGAAGCGAAATATCTCACCAATGATTTTTCTATTAGTTACAAATTAGAATAACATATGGAAATATTCATCTAAATAAAATATACAGTATTGCTAAATTCAGTGTTCTGGCTAACAGTGGAAGAGCACTGGCCAAGCACAGAGTGAGGGCCTGGGAGATTCCTCAGCACTGTAAGAAAAGAAAAAAAATGTTTTTGTTTTTACGGGTGGCTGCTAGAAAATTTCAAATTACATACACTGGACAGTGCCATTCCATAAGATTTGGTGAGGTCAAGTAGGGTCAGTGACAGATAAAGTTATCAGGAACAGTACAGAGGGCCTAGATGAGGCTTGGGAATGGCAGCGAAGATTTCCAGCAGTGACACCAAAATTGAACCCTGAAAAATAATAGGCCTTGATAAGGCAAAGGGGAATTAAGAGGGTAACCCAGGGAGCAAAACAGCAAGTGCACAGGCCTGTTGATAACAAACATGGCAAGATCATTCATGACAAAGAGTTTGGCACCCAGGCATAGGGTGAAGGGCTTGGAGAAGGGACAGGGATGGGAAATAAGGAAAGGTACTATTATGGCTTGTGTCTAGATGTCCCCGCAAAGCCTCCTGCAGTCATAGGTGAGGCTTTTTCAGGGGTGGCTGAATCCAGAGTGTGTATCACTGGGATTGGTTCATGGTGCAATGCTGGCATCAAGGGGACCAGGATTAAGGGTGTGAGTGCTACCTGCTTTAAGTAGCCTGGATAAGACATAAGGGACAGAAAGCGCTGTAGTGGTCCCTTGCTTGCTTATGAAAAACCCTGGAAGTCCTATGAAAGACTTTCATTCTGAAGGTGGCAAGGAGCCACTGAGACTGTAAAATAGGTAAAACCTTAGTTATCAGGAATGTATTCAGCACTTGGATTCTGTAAAGGCAGGCAGGAGAAAGAAAAGGGAATGTTTGCCGATGTGCTGAGGAGCTACCCTGGGTCAAACACTGGCCTAAGCCCTTTTAGAGTCATTTTAATTCTTATGCCAACCCTGGGCTTTAACCCATTTTATAGATGATGAAAACTGGGCTCAGCCAGGTCGGGTAATACATGCCGGTAATCCCAGCACTCTGGAGATTGAGGCAAGAGGCCCAAGTTTGACACCAGCTTGGGCAATATAGCAATTTAAAGAGATCCTGTCTCAAAAAAAACAAAAGCAGCCTGGGATACAGCTCAGTGCAAAGGCTCTGGGTTCAAACCCCAGAACTGCAGAGAGAGAGAGACAAACAGACAGACAGACAGAATAAGGCTCAGAGAATGAGACCTGCCCCAAATCACAGGGCTGTTGTTAAGTGGCAGAACATGGGACTGAACCCAGTTAGGTCTGGGTCCCCAAACCCAAGTGTTTAGCCAATCAACACTAAAGAAAAGAGCTGTTTCAAAGAATGAACCTTATCTAATGGCAATAAGAAAGATTAAAGGCATAAAATAGCAGCCTGTGAAGATAAGATTATGAATTAAAAGCTTTCAAGCTGTAGTAGTAAGGTCTATTAGAGATGTGAAGGAAGACAGGACGATCCAGGCGAGAGGAAGAGGTAGTCATATGCAGAGAAAGGGACACGATGGGATGAACTTCCACAGGATCCAGAGCTAGCTACAAAGGGCCTTGCTCTTCATCTGATACTCAATAGGAGGTTCTCAATAAACAGAGTAAACATTTCCTAGATTTGCCCAAGGTAGGACCTGTTTATGCCTCTCTTGCTACCCGGGTGTTACGGTTTATATCTAGATGTCCCCCAAAGCCTCAGGTGCTCATAGGTGAGGCTTTGGGGAGGTCATTGGATTATGGGAGTTTGATATTCCTCACTGGATTAGTCCACTGATGAGTCTACAGCTAAATGTGATGTTAGGAGATGAAGCCTGGTCAGAGGAGATGGGGCACTGGGGGCGTGCCCTGGAGGAGTCTATCCTCCTCCCTTGATCTCTCTCTACTTCCCACAGCCATACCATGAGCTGTTTCTCCTCTGCCATGCCCCTCTACCTTAAAGCCAGGCAAAACTATGGACTGAAGTCTCTTCAAACTGTGAGCCAACATAAACCTTTCTTCCTTAGAATTGTGGGTGTCAGGAATTATGTCTCAGCAACGAGAAAATAACTAAGACAAGAGGCATAAAAGTAAACAGTGCCCACTTCACTCTTAATAGCACCTGGTCTGCACAACAAATAACACAGCCATTTTCAAGTAGGATCTGTGGACTAAAAGCAATAGCCTGTTCCTAGAGAAATGGATAAGCACTGCAGGTTCTCAGTCTCTCTTCCTTCTAAGCACTCTCCAAACAGAAGCCCAGGACAACCAAAGGATCCTTGAGCAGGGTAGCAGTCCTTCAGGCCTCCAAATGGCCTCAGCCCCACCAGCAAGACTCCAACCACCACCTGAGCCAGGTTCATTGGAAGGCCAGTCTCAGTCATTGTTCCCTGATTTCCACCACTACTGATAATACAAATTGAACATCCTTAAATCTAAAAATCCAAAATCCTAAACTTTTTTAGTGCCAACATGACAGCCACAAGTGGAAAATTTCACCCCTGACCTCATGTGACAGGTCACAATCAAAGTGCAAGCACATTAAAAATACTGTATAAAATTACCTTTAGGCTATGTATATAAGGTGTATATGAAACAGTATATAAGGTATATGTGAAACATTAATCAATTTCATGTTTAGATTTGGGTCCCATCTCCAATATATCTCATTATATATATGAAAATATTCAAAAGAAATCCCAAATCTGAAACATTTCTGGTCCTAACCATTTCAGGTAAGGGATACTCAATCTGTATTAGCAGTAATAACAATAACAACAATACAGGAGCATTTCTTCAGCACTAATGCCAGCATTGCTTCTTTTAATCTTCACCCTAATTCTACAGAGTAGGTATTACCCCAACCCAGTTTACAGATGGGAAAGCTGGTCAAATCACTTTAGTAAGGTCACATAGCTAGTCAGTTTACAGCTGGATTTGACTGCAGTTCTGTCCATATCCAGCCAAAGCTCTTAACCACTGCACTCCATTGCCTCTGTCCTAGGTGGCCACTGTGTGACCCCATAATCAAAGTCCAGACATAACTACACTCCCCATAATGAATGCAAAGCCTCAAACCAGAATGAATTATCAAGTGTTGCAAGGTCCCTGTCCCCCAAACAGCCTCCACTGTTGGCATACCCCCAAGCTGTTCTCCCTCATCCCACCCTCTCCAGAGCATGTCCCCAAAACAGAGTCGAGTGTAGTGCAGATCAGGATTCCTAGGCCCCAAACTCAGTATCAGCAGGCGGGACCCGAAGAGAGCCCTAGATCCCACACTCGGGAACATCAGGTGGGCCCCAAAAGAGACCTTGCCCGAAGGAACCCACCCCACACATTGCCTCTGTCCACACACCCTCAAGACCAAACCCCAATGCCAGGTTAGAGAGAAACCCCATCAGTGGGAGCCCGGCCCAGTTACCGCGAATCCCCAAAGCTCGGGCCGCACCTGCAGCCACTCAAAGTCCCGGGGAGAGTGACGTCTTCTTCCAACACGGAGTCCATCATGGACACAAAGGCAATGTTGGTATTAGTGTCGGTGGCGGCGGCGCCACTGGTTCCCTCGGCTGTTGCGACCCGCCCGGCTTCCCAGGTCCCCGCCCCCTCCAACCCAGCTCTTGTTCAGACTGTGGCGGCGCCGCTGGAATTCAAACCGCAGCTGCGGCCATCTTTCCCGGCGCTTCTTCCTACGGAAACGAGGATGGCTCACTGAAACTCGCGCAGTGAAGCCTACCCGCCAGGGTCAGAGGCCGGGCAGGGAAGCGTTGGCGGCCGCCATTTTAACTAAGGGCAAAGCGTTAATGTTTGGTTCGGGCAAATTAAGGAAAGAGAAACTGGCTGCCATTTTTTATGAGGGCACTTGGGCGGGGACCGGGGGGGGAAGCTGCCATCTTTGTTAAGGGAGAAAACCAGCCTCTGTCCGTTAATTTGAGCGGGAGATGGGAATACTGCCCTTTATTGTAACTCAGAATTCCTAATTCAGTGTTTGCTTTTCTAGCATAATGACCCTTCAAATTTTAGGGTTCATACACCCAAATGGCCTCCGCCTTGCTTTGAAAAGTAATCAGATGCTGCTTCCCTTTAGAAAAATCCTTCCTGTGGGATCCTAGCAAAAGCAGTAATTTGCACACTTAGTTTGGAGCACCTCATCCATATGTGCAAAGTGGTCAGCCACACTCCACCTCCAAGCTCTCATTTAATGATCCCTTATTACCCTTAGGACTCAAACTCACTTGTAATCAGTAAACTGGGGCCCAAAGTAATGCACAGTAAGTTTGTCAACTGGATCCAGATACGGGCTTTTGCCAGCTACGTTAGGGTTCTATTTAACCCTAGTTGTCTTTCGTAAAGCATACAGCCACCACAAAACACCTAGATAATTTGGGCAGAGCTTCATTTTGAAATTAACCTTCCCTCCCCTCTCAGTATTGCTTCTTCCTCTGTAGGCCTCTGAGAGAGTCCTGGATGAAAATAACTTGAAAACATAATTGAGCAGTAGATGGTAACATCCTTGTAATCATGAACAATCCCCTCCCCTTAGGTTTCCTTATCCTTCAATTAAATAATTGATTAATGGCTTTCCAAAAGAGGCCTCCCCTAATGCTGGCATCTGAATCAATTCCCTTTATGTTCTTAGCAACCAGTATTTTTCCTTTGTAGCACTTAACATAATTTGCAATTGTATATCTGTTTTTAATATCTTTGTTTTTCACTAGACTGGAAGCTTCATGAGGGCAGGGATTGTGATCTGAATTGTTCACTGTTATATCTTCTAGCATTGTGACTGCCACCCAAGCAGATGTTTAAAAATACATGTCAAACGAATGACTCAGTCAGTCTGGAAAATTGTGCTCAGACCTATTTGCAACGTTTTTGTGAAGATGACCAGAGATATCTTCAGGAACTCTGCCAATAATCATTCCATATATTTCCATTGTCTTTCCCTCCCTACTCCGAATGTGCATACACACACACATGCAACTGGAGTGAATCTACAAAGCCCACGCCTCTCTGCACCAGCCCCTCTTCCTTCCCCCCAATCTTCAATAGATCTGCACCCCAGAATCAGCAGTAATAGGCTGAAAAAGAAAGAGGGTTTGGCATTCCAGGGCAGGGCAGTCCTTGAAGCTCTAGAACTGACACTTGTTGCCAGTGCCAACTTCAACCCATGAGATGAGTATATCCAATAAGAGAGAAACTAGAGTGTCAGAATTCCCACCTTGGCTGTGCCATTCACTCTGTGGTCTTTGACAGACCACTTCTACTCTCTGTTTCTAAATCTGTTAAATGAAAGATGGCTGGACCTCTCCGGACCTTACTACTCTGAAGTGATTTCTCTGTGCTTTTTTCAAAGCTACTAACATACAACCAGCTCTATTCTGGAGAGGGAGGCAGAGTTATAAATCATCACCTCCCAATTTAAGAAAATAAATTTCCATTCAGCAAATGAAAGCACTTGAGAATGGAAACAAAGAAGTCTTACATTTTTTTGAGCATATCTAATCTGTCACCCTGGCCAGGCTTATCACATGCACTATCTCATTAAACCTTCACCAAGCCTCTGGAGTGGATGCTGTAATACTCTTTCACTCATCCTTGAGAAGCCTGAGGCTGGGCAGGGAAAAAACAACTTACTCAAGGTCCCATACTGGGATGTGTCAGATCTAAAATTTGAGCAGAGGTCTCTCTGAAATCCAATAACCCAACTGTTTCAGGCAGCTTGTCTTCCACATTTGTTTGTTTTTCTCCCCCTTAGAATTTAAGAGTAGGAGATGAGGTCTACATCCCGACACACAATATATAAGTGAGGTGTTCATCAGGCTCTACCCTTTGGGTAACTGCTTCCGAAGGTGGTTAAGAGAGAAATCTTAATGTAGGTAATATGATTTCAGGCCTAGAAATCTGAATGTCAGGATTCTGACTCCACCTTATCCTGTGACTTGGGATCCCTTCCCCTTTGATTTGCCTTGATTTTCCTGTGTGTGAAATGGGAAAGACAAAGCCAGGGTCATATGGTGCATTATTTCATTAGACACTTTGGAAATTATAAAGAAGAAAGAACCTATAAGAAGCTCTTAAGATTAATACATTGCCCTATTCAGCATGACCATGTGCCTAGATTTAATGCAAATCCCTTTAGTGAAGTTGGAAGCTGAAAATAAAGCAATTGCACAAAGGAAAGGCTAGATAGGAAGTTGTTTTCCCTGCTACAGTAGTGGTTTCATGGTTAGAGACGGAGGCTTTTGCCCTGTCTGTATCACTGGCTTTTCTTTCTGCCATGCCTAGAGGTGATGTCACTGCCACCAGCTGTTTGGGCTATCTGGAGCCATCTCCTTGACAACAGCCATTCTGCCACAAAGCTGGCATTATTATTTCATTGGACAAGCTCACAATAAATGGCTGGAAGTAGTTTGTACCCAGATGTTTTTCATTTGGGTGGAACGTTTCTGGTTTTAGCAGCTGAAGACAGTTGTTTTGCTATTACAAACAGCAGAAATAACTTTTTACAGATCAACACATTCACATTGCTACTTTTCACTGTTCCATTTTCTCCTCATGACACGTGAAGTAGATGGGATGATTGCCCAGCTCTACAGAGGAGGAATGCTATAGTTTAGATCTTAAATTTCCCCCAAGACCCATATGTCAAAGATTTGGTCCCCAGGCCAAGGGACTATCTGGAGATGGTGGAACCTTTAAGAGGTGAAGCCTACTTGGGGGAATTTAAGTCACTGAGGTGCCTCTTAAAAGGGACTTTAGGACCCTGGCCACTCTTTCTCTTTGTTTCCTGGCCACCATGAAATGAGCAGCTCCTTTACCACAGGCTCCCAGCATGATGTGTGTTACACATTTCATCACAGTAACAGAAAACTAAACAAAGAAACTAAGATTCAGAGAGAGAAAGAAATTTGCCATAGGTCACATTTTTTTCTTTCCTTCTTTCTTAGCTTTTCACTTAGAAATCACTTCAGACTTAGAAAAATGTTTCCAACTTACTTAATATGTAAAAATAATGGCCTTAACTTACTATACCAGCCTACAGATTTTTAAAATGTGAATTTTCTTTTCATATTTACTAGTAGTAGAAAAGTGGAAAAGCAATTTTTATATTTTTATAAGATAACTTATTTGGAGATTCGTGTTCCCTATTAGATAATCATGATCTTTCTCTTTGCCTTTATAAATGTAAGTAGCCATTCACATGTTTATTGACTGTTAAGAGGTTCTAGCATGTAGATATCTTGTCCAGCTGTTTGAAACAAAATACAAAACTCAAAGTTAAAAAAAAAAGAAAAATGTTTCCAAAATAGTACAAACTTTCAGTTTCTTAAAATATTAACATCTTACATGAGCATAGTTGTTACAAATTACAATGAGACAATACTACTGACTACAGACTTTATTTGCATTTAATCAGTTTTGTCATTAATTTCCTTTTGCTGATCCAGGATCCAATCCAGTATTCCACATTGCATTTAGTTGTTACATCTCTTCTACTTCAGCAAACTATTGATCTACCTTATGTTGCTAAAGATTTATGTTTCATACATATATATATAAAAAACTGGAATTGTACAGTATGTACTTTTTGTGTCTATCTTCTCTGAATAGCAGGGAGTTTTAATTCCATATCCTAGGGTCTATCGTAGTGTCTGGCAGGTAATAGGTGTTCAATAAATGTTGGTGAAAGAGTGAATTAATAAATTTTTTGGGGGGGGTGCCAGGGATCAAACTCAAGACCTTGCACTTGTGAGGCAGGCGTGGTGCCACTGAGCTAAATCCCCAGCCCGAATTAATAAATCTTAACCAGAATTAATGAACTTATGCCCAAACACCTTTTTCTTCCTGGATAATGAAATATAAGATAGAAAAAGGCCCTCAGAGAGAATATTTAACCAAACTTCTTGGATATACCGGTGGAAAAACTACGTTCCAAATGGATTAATGGTCAGCCCAAGTTCACTGTAAACTTATAGCAGAGCATAGATTAGAGCCCAGTGTGCAGACTCCCAAGTCTGCAATTCCCTTCACAACATTCACTTTCCACATGCATATTTCAGTGGGACCACAGGATGCCTACAACATGTCACACTGTTTATTTCAGCCTCCTGGCACCAGACCACCCACTGAAAATTGCAGAAGCAGCAGCAATTCAACCTAGAAAATTCCTCATGTCACTCCAAATGTACCCAAAACCTAGGAGTGGCCTTACTGCAATCCTAAGTGGCAGATTGGTTTTCTAGTTAGAAAACAAGCCTCATGGTTCCTGATCCAATTCTCCATTCACTGAAGAAAGAATCATACTGCATGCTCTGTACTATTCTCACTGAAGATATCTTACATAAAAGAGAAAAAGAAACTGTAGTTCATTGTAGACCTTGTATGTGCCTGGTGTGTGCTTCACATGTAGGGTGTCACCTTACCTCACTGCAATTCTATGAGGTCACCATCCTTATTCCTTCTACAAGCAATGACAACAGGACTAAGACTTGTCTGTTGACTTGCCCAAAATTCTATAACTGTGAGCTGGAATAGGAAGCCATATCTCTATGCCTCAAAAGTAGATGTTCTTTGTACTAAAATCTATGATCTTTTAGAACCCAGAAAAAGAGCTTTTCTCTTAGTGTTTCAGTATGCATATTTTAATATCTTCTTAGTCAACTGGGAAGCTTATGACTGTTAGGTGTCAGTTGTTAATGTAGTCATTTTAGCCTAGATTTTCTGGTATATTTCTA